TGCCAGCTTCGTGCAAAGATTCTAAACCCCAACCCTATTCACACCATTTCAGCTGCTACCTCTAAAGTCTCTTCTTTGGACTCCCTGGCTCTTCCGGTTTATATCACTCAACTTAGCACAGGACTGACCTGCAAGGTTCTCTAAGAAATCCATTGTGGCTAGCCGGCACGGCCATAGCCTACTCAACCCCAGGGCACCTTAGGTGCCATGCCAGCTCAGCCTGGTTCAGTGACCCTGAGAGGGGGTGGTGAAGGATTGAGAAAAGACAGACAAGAGAATGAGCTGAGGCTGGGTGGGACGCTGCCCTCTCTGATGAAGAGACAGCGCCAGGGACTACAATCCAGATTCCACGAGGCAAAGAAAGGGCATGGTCAAGATGTTACAACATTCTCGTGAGTTTCAATCCTACTCAATTACATGCACCTGAACTCTATCAAGCCCACATCACTCAGAAACGTGGGGCCACGTGTTCGGACCATAGGTTCACGCTTACAACTACTGCTGTTGGTTATAATTGTGCCGGGAAGGCCCTGCCCTCCAAGCTGGGACTTGCACGTGGCAATGAGAGGACTGTGCCCTCTCATTAGTCCAAGGCTTGAACCTGTCCAAACACTGTAGCCGCTTTCCACAAGCCATATTATCTCCCCCAACGGAGTCGTAGTGTTTTAGGGCTGGACATGATGCCTCACGCATCTCCTTGACTCTTCCTCGGCTCTTAACATGTCAGGCACCAGAACATAGTTTGACACAAGTTTGTCAGTTGACCAATCAAGATAAAAACTTAGGACAGGAACACTATATTTGCAAACACAATCTCTCTACACTGTCATTTCCCCTCTCTGATGTTAGTTTTCTAACAGGACACACAGCGCCACACTCCAGGGTCAGAAGGCTCCTGTTTCCTCTGCTGGCGCCACCGCTTACTAGCTTTGTCCATTTGGGGGAATTACTCAGCTCCCTGAGCCTGCGTTTTGCAGCCAGGGAGCAGCCGGCACACTGCAGAACAGAGAGGAGGCTTCCAAGGAATGCTGGTTCCCCGCCTGATTTCCTCCCCCTCCTCTTTAAAGTGCTTAGAGATCATTATCCAGGACACGTCAACCACAAACCGTAACTCTTAGGAAGGCATTCATTAACCAGCGAGAAGTTAATTACACTTAATCCAGTTCCCTTCCTCTTTACCGTACTTAGGATGACTTGTAAGTCTTATATCAGCTAGACACATGTTCCATAAAATCATTCATTACTAAATCATAACGTTCTTCCATCCATTTAGTCATTCAGAAGTTAAATATATTTAACCAAATTATTTCTCTAAAATTCCTTTTATTTTCCCTTCTTAATTCTTGAGAGCCATCTCTGTTCCTTTCCTTTACTGATTTCTTACCTGGCCCGTTGTGTCTCTTGGCCTTATTTTCTTCTCTTCTGTCTCTTTTTTTCCACGCAAGTCATGGTAGTACCTTCAGGGAAGATGGTTTTTCTGGCAGAGGGATCATGGCCTGGATAAATCAGGAAATCAGAATTACTTCGGATTTTCCAGAAGCCCATGGTGCTGTTTCGTGCTCCTTATGAGCTCTTAACTGAGGCCAAATCTCCAAGAACTCACTGAAAAGAGACATGAAGGGAATGGTGTGAGCAATGTGAAACAAGTAGAAGTCACTTTCTCTCCATTCCTCCTTCAGCTTTAATTGAGGAGACCTACACCTAATTAATGATGATGAGGATAAGGCTATTTCTGAGGGTGGGCCAAGGAGATTTGTAGAAGAATGTGTTGAGATCTTTTTTAAACATTTTTTTTGAGATCTTTTTTTTTTTCAAACTGTATTTTTACTGATTTTGAGAGAGAGAGGAAGGGAGAAGACTAGAGATGGAAACATCCATGAGAGAGAAACATCATCTTCTGAAGGTCCCCTCCTGGGGATTGAGCCCATAACACAGGCATGTGCCCTGACCAGGAATTGAATCGGTGACCTCTTGGTTCCTGGATCGACGCTCAACCACTGAGCTACACCAGCTGGGCTGTGTAAAGTTCTTTAAAAGCAGATTCTCAGGTCTTTTAACCACAGATTCTGATTCAAGAATTTTAAATAAAGT